TGATTTGTTCTAATGGTGTTTGTAAATAGGATCACAAGTCCGCATCTTGTACAGCAATTAACCACTAAGAAGAATATATGCAGTGTGCTATTTGTTGAAACTGTACTTCCGATTTGATTTGAAACTGTCTCATTGCCATCTGTTTATCAATAAAACTTTGAAAAAAATCTGTAATAAGCACTCTTTAGTAATACTTTTTATTAGGACTCAAAGTGTAATAAGTGAACCTAAAATATAATTTCAATACACCAGTATGATCTTAGGTCCAACAAATAGCTGATAACTGGAATGTGCCAGGGTATGTTGTGCAGGGAAATCACACCTGTGAGATTGGTGGAAGAGAGCTCAGCTCTGAAACCCTTGCACTAGAAGCCGAAGTTTTCTGAGAACTAGGATGAAAGTATGCGGTAAGATGCATACACAGCTGGTAACCATAAAACCCAGATGCAGACGTGCAGGTAGATGAAGGATATTCCTGTGGCTCTCCTAATGTCAATTTCTGAGCTGGCCTACAGGCAGATAATGTTATCATTGTAAGTGCATACTGTGATGCAAAAATTATATGCCCATACTGTGACAACCTCCTTCTTCAAGGCAGAATCTTTGATGCATGTTTAAAAATTGATATTGTTGGTAGTTATGTCTATGAAGTGAAGAATGCAGCAAGAGAATGCAGCTCTCTGGACTGAATTATAACCAGCAAGGATGCAACAGAGATTATGAAAATCTTTTTAAAAGGATGTGGCAATGCTATTATGGAGTTCATAATAATGAAATGAGAACATACAGGTCATTGTTAAATGAGTAAACATGGACAACACTAGTTTATTTTTTAATTGCAAAGATCATAGAAACATTTAGTAAACATACCCGTTGTTTTTGTTGATTTGCCTTTCACCCCTGGGCTGACAGTATCTTCATTTGCGATCTTGGACTTACCCTTCACACTGTAACCAACCTAAGCCTTTCCCATTAAGTAGTGAATTAATATTGAATTATTTCTTTCCTTTCTATTCTCTGGCCTCTCTTGAGTTTCCTCTAAGGAGTCTTGTTTTCCAGTCATATCTAAACATTATTCTGTGCTTAGCTCATTCTTGGGCCTTAAATTTAGAGCTCTATCTGACAGGCCATACGGATACCTAAACCTAACTAACTAGCAGTTACTTCCCATGAATTGTCTCATCATCTTTCCTCACTGTTGAAACTCTGATTTTATTCTGGAGCTTTGTAAATGGCCCGCCCACCCACACCAGTGCTCCAGTTTGATAGCTATCAATCATGGATATATGGAAGTCTAATGCCAGTCTGATGGTGTTTGTAAATGGAGCCTTTGTGAAGTAGTTAGGTTGTGGTAGTAAAGATCTCATGAATGTGTTGGGTGCACTAACAGAAAGTTTGCTGTCTTTTCACATTGTATGAAGATACAGTGAGGGCCTTTACCAGCACTTAGGCATCTTGTCACCCTGATCTCTGATTTCCAGCCCCCAGAACTGGGAGAAAAAAACTGTTATTAGTCACCCTGTCTATGGAACTTTGTTGAAATATCTAGAAGTAACTAAGACAATCTCTAGCACCTGTTAATTTTATAATTTAGGTGTTGGTTACATCTCTTCCTTTGTCATTAACCTCACTAGTATATCCTTATTTCTCAGCTAGGCAAGACAATACCACACTTGCAGAATCACCTGATGACCTGGCTTAGGCTATTTGTGCTGCTATTACAAATATCACAGGCTGGGTGATCAGTAATAAAGAAATGTATTGACTTATAGCTCTGGAATCTGGGAAGCCCAAAAACAAGGTGCTAGCTGGCTTGACAATTATGCTTCTAAGATGTTTTCTTGAATGCTGTACCCTCTGGAGAAAAGGAACTTCTTGTTCTTCATGCAAAACAGCAAAGGCAAAAAGGGGCTGGTCATACTCACACTTTTATAATGGCATTAACCCCATTCATGAAGGTGGAGCTCTCCTGTACCTTTCACCTTGTAGAGTATCCATGCCCTAATATTGTTACAATGGCAATTAAACTATAACATGAGT